AACCAGCCCCAAGCACCCAGTCTCTTCTTCCACCACAGAAGGCATGTCAGCCAGTTTCAGCATATGTGCTCTTTCAAGTTCAGCTGCTCCCCACTCCCACTAAAAACAGTATTAGCAAAGCAATGCTTCCCCCTCAGGTGCAGGACGGTTTGTCTGAATTACTTTGAGGCCAGCCAAGACTCTTTCTCTTTGGCCTCTCCAAACTCCTCCCAGGCCTGAGTTTTTGCCTTAACAATCACCCAGGTAGCAACACATTTGGTCTCACGATACCTGCTTGCTGTTCCAGGAGTCCCACTCAGACTCCATGTCTCTAGCCTCCCCCGGAATCTGGGAAAAGATCTCCTGGAGGTAAGAGCAAAGCTATCAATTTTAAATCAATCATATTTTTGTGAAAATACACTGGGTATCATGCTAAGTAGTCTGATGGTAAACATTAGTTTTGAAGGTTACTTTATTTAAACCAGGAAACCTCCTTACCCTAGAAGGTGTGAAATTTGAAATAGAAGCAAATTTACGAGGAAGTCAAATGCAAAAACTCTTCAGGAAAATGTAGGAATTAAAGCTAAAACAGATATGGAGAAAGATAGAAATTAAAAATTGTAAATAGACAAAATTAGAATAAAAAACATTAGGTAAGAAAACATTAGAAAACTATTGAACAACACCCTTATGTGGAAATGTCAATCAACAAATCATGTTTTCATTTTAGACATTTTGGTATTAGAAATATTAATATAATGAAATTATAAATGCACCACAACAAAGGCACATAAACATTTGATTTACAATGTGCTTCTAATCTTCATCGCAGGGGTTATCCAAACCCCACAGTTAGACCTATTTGTGACCCACTTGTGTCTGCAGTCGATCATGAACCGTATCTCTGAGTTTCTTCATTTGATAATAGAAACTACCGTAATAAGTCAGCTTTTTTCTTAACTATGTCCTCTACAGGACAGACCAAAGCAAGATCTGTATCACTGCAGGTAAAGCCCCAACACATTTGCACATTTGCACTTCTATGTGGAAAAAACACCAAAACATTTAAAACCTTCGATATTATGCAATATTTGAGTCCAGATGGAGCATTTCAACTTGTCTTCGTGAGAACATAACCTGCTTCTTAAAGGGGCTAACTACCCCCCCCCCCCCCTTTTTGACATTAAACTGTGAACAATCTCTAAAATGGGATCATGTTGCCCCTGAACCAGATTACCATTCACATATAGTTCATAATACTTTGTTCATAAACATAATTAGAGACAAGAACCTTGGTTAATATTCAACACAAACCTAACTCTTTATTTGGATAAACAACAGACAAATGGCATCCCTGGCTCCCAAAAGTCCTGCAACATCTCCCACAAAACGGCTTGAGGGATATGATTTCTAAGCTCCTCCTCATACACCAAACATACAAACGTTTGAAGCTGCAAATCCATATAAAAATTTTAATTTATTGGTCCTAAGTTTGGTTTTGTAGATTTGTTCAGGCAGAAAAAAGTCATTCTTAACCAGCCTCGCTTACTTTGTATTTTCCTTCTTCTTGTTTACGTTTTAGCTATTTTATATTTATTTAGATATTTTATGTCTAAAAAAAAAATGTTTTATATGCTTACAGTTATGGCACATCACTGAGAAACAAATTAGTTAAAGTGATGGGAGGTAGTCCTTGCCTAGCCAAAGAGAATCAATCAATCAGTCTTTGAGTCAGAAACGCTTTGATCAATGTCCTATATCAAACCAAGGTTATCAGCCCAGCCAACTTACTTTCAAAGTACTTCTTTTTCTGAAAAGAATAATATACAGAGAAGATATTGCCACACAAATTGGTGATACTTTCACACTCTCAGATTCTCTTCACAATATTGTAACCAACCCTAGAGCAATAATCAGCTCCTGCAGCTTTGGTCTATAAATAACACTTTTCTGCCTGCACATGACAATTCAGTGGTAGCACCACAATATGTAAGTGACGAATCATGAATGAGGTACTTGATCTAATTTTGGATCGCAGCCCTGATGAGGATGGAAATATCAAACTTGAAGAACAAGCACTGCAAGGAAGAAACCTGCTTAAATTCTCAATATGGCCCACACTTCTACTTTGTACTGATAAAGGGGCTCAAGATCAGGCTTTTATAAGTAGAAATATCCTAGATGTGTGATGAAACCATAGTCTTTGAAAGAAACAGTGAGTAAGGTTGATTTACCTGTATATTACGTGATTGGATGAAATAGGAAATTGAAAAATTAATACTTTATTCTGCAACTTTCCAAATAAACTTTTTATTACAACCTATAAATGTGAGATTATTAAGAAAACAAATGAGAAACTTACAGTATAAGGAAACAAACTGTGTTTCCCCACACCAAATAATATGTTGCTCTTAATTATGCAGGTTAAGCTGTCTGACATCACTTTGATTTAAATTCTTCTTCAAACCAAATCAAAAGTTAACTAAGCAGAGATTTGGGATGTTACACTCAGAAAAAACAATGTACATCACAAAACAGAACATAGACTTAACTCCATCCATCCATCCATCTTCCTCCGCTTATCCGGGGTCGGGTCGCGGGGGCAGCAGCTTAAGAAGGGAGGCCCAGACTTCCCTCTCCCCAGCCACTTCTTCCAGCTCTTCAGGAGGAACCCCAAGGCGTTCCCAGGCCAGCCGAGAAACATAGTCTCTCCAGCGTGTCCTGGGTCTTCCCCGGGGCCTCCCCCCGGTGGGACGTGCCCGGAACACCTCACCAGGGAGGCGTCCAGGAGGCATCCTAAACAGATGCCCAAGCCACCTCAACTGGCTCCTCTCGACGTGGAGGAGCAGCGGCTCTACTCCGAGTCCCTCCCGGACTACCGAGCTTCTCACCCTATCTCTAAGGGAGAGCCCAGCCACCCTATGGAGGACTTAACTCATTGTGCAGAATTATCACCCTTTATCCCTGCCTCCTTAATAACTACAATAACATGCTAGGAAAAGTAACAACAGGTTAAATTGAAAAACAGTGAATATGTGAGCAGTCCCATGACACCGCAAGGTTTGAAACACTACAGTTCCTCCCAGTAGCATCATTATTTTGCCATATTATCCATGATCATATAAAAATCATTACCCTATATGCAATAAATTGGAAATAAATAAGTAGTTGCAGGGCCATTTTTGAGTTAACATTTTCTCAGTGTTGCTGCTGAAAAGCTTCTTTCTTTCAATAGTGATATGCTTCCCACTATGCAATTCATATTTACATACCCAAACTTCAAAAGCAGAGATACAAGGAAATTAAACAAAATATGTTATAAAACAAAGAGGAAAAAACAAGGGTACATTTGCATGTCTAGTAAAGTGTATCAGGGAGATTAATAGAGCTGTTAATGGCAAATTATCTTGCCAGTTGAAAACTACTGAAATTCATCTTTACCTGGCTGGTAAAATAATCAAGCATAAAAGTCTTTAAGTAGAGTAGTATTGTGCTTTACATTTAATTAGGTTGATTATCAGGGTTTGTGCTGTTTTTTTTGTATGAGCTTAAAAAAAAATTCTGCCAACATTTAGTGTTGAATGGTATCATGTTTGGTATTTTATAGCATTATGAATTAGGATAGTCTTCTATAGTTTGATAAACTACATATTGCTTGCATAGATCATTTTCTCCAGTGTGTGGCAATTTAAAGGTTTAAGTGGAGGAATTTAGCTATTTTTTTGTAAAGACCCGCCCTCACCACGAGCCCATTTCTCCTTGTGCACGCACCTTTTTAAAAGTTGCTGTTTGCACATACAAGCTTACTTTCCAAAAGAAGATTTGCAATTTTTCCACCATGTCAGACTCACCACTGATACGTGAAAAATGGGGAAATAGGCCTGCCTTATGTAAACAAATCACCAGAATGATTGACAATTAGGAGGACCACTTATTTTGATGATCCACCCGGAAAAAGAACATTCTCCACCATACTTTTAAGTATAATAAATATTTTTCTTTATAAATCAACTCACAAATTATATGAAACCTCTGCATGAGTAATAACTACATTGAAGGTGCAGAATTTGCCCTATTTTTATCCACATGCTCACAAATCCACAGCCTCAACTTTCTAATAAGATTTACACACAAGAATTAATGATGTAGTCAAAATGTGTCTGTTAGTTTTAGTACCACTGAATGTTATATAAAAAACACCATATATAACACTGCCAGAGTGTCCATTAGTTCTTAGAAGGTGTGTTTATGATCTAACTGTTGCATTCCATATTATTGGCAGAAATAGTGGGCACAAAAATCCAATTTAGCATTAGGGCCCCTTTAAGGCTTGGCCTTGCCCTGGAGGGAAAAAAATCATCAATGACTTTAGTGAAACCACTATGGCTGCAGTGAATGTAGGACAGATTTCTAGGCCTTTTCCATTAATGATGAAAACCTTCATTCTGCAGCAAAATGTGGCATTTAACTCAGTTGTTTCATAATAAAAGCTGACAGAAAGACAAATAAGGAAAAATAAAAAATAAAAATTAATAAAAAATAAAAGGAGGGTTGGAGTGCTTATCAAAAAATTGCATCCCTTTCTCTAAGAAAGGGGAAAACATTTTTACAATGCTTTGTCTCGTGATATGAATATTTGCCTACAGTATTTCTTTTTCTTTTTTTATCCTGTAGTCAAATACCTGTATTTTCTCATTCTGGAAAAAAAAAAAAAAGGATTTTCTATTCTTTTATGAATTTGCAATCATTGCCAATGCTTTTATGGACAGACGCATCTATCACATACTGCCTGTACTGGTAAAAAACAAAAAAACAAAACAATTCTGCTCAGTAAATCTGTCAACCCCTTTAGGTTTTTATATATTAATGCTTCATATCACGTGCCGGGCTGTCCGCTCAGAGCTGCGGCTGTGCAGCCATTGATTGGCCGCCTCTCGCTCTCTGTCTCCACCCAGCAGCTTCCCCTGCCGCTGCTCGCAGCCACACCTGCATTAAACCGGGGAAGTCCGTCGGTGAACGGACAGAAGCGGCAAGGCGGACACCGATATCAGCTGGAGTTACGGAGATTTGCGCCTTCGGTTCCAGAAAGCACAAATGGTGTTCAGCGAGAGAGAGTTGTGGGACTTTACGCACGTCACACCTGGCTGGAAATTAAATGAAAACGGAGGCGCACGGCGCAAAAATTGACATAAGACTGACAAACCCAGCGCATAGGTAAGACACCTTTAATAATTCCAGTATTACAAAAGAAGAGTGCTTCTCTATTAGGTTATAACTTTTGCTTCTTTAAATCAAACTCATATTACATAATTTTAAACTTATATTTATTTTCTCATGAATGATTTATTTGATTGTTGGCATTAGTTACCCCTTCTTATGGTAAGGCAATTTTATTTGTATACCACAATACAGTACATGGACATTTCAAAGTGCTTTACATGATTTAGATAGTAAAATAGAAGAACATTAAAAGCAAAAACATTGTCTTATTAGTGTCTTCACCTTTCCCTGCACAGTTTTTTTTAAAACTTTATATTATTGTTAATATTTTTTGTATGTGCAAATGAATCTAAATCTAAATTTACAGAATAAACATCACAAGTGATGTATTACACATATTGTGTTTGAATTTAACTCGTTGTTTTGCTTGCATTTTTATGTTTCATCTTTAAATTGAGGCAAAATTATTATTATAGCTTCATTTGGATCTGTCAGATAAAAGCTCTGCTATAGCCCATTAGTACATGTAGCTCTCTAATTATGCCTCAGTGCTGTATAGGTTGAAATGTTCATCTAAAATTTGTAATATAAGGAGTTCACAAAGTATGCTCCTAACTATCGGGGTTTATATTTTAAGTAGATCAAATAAATGTGCAATCTAAATCATACTAATATATATGGAATCTCCTTGGTGCTCCCTTTTCAGCTTCAGTACCATACTGCTGTGTTCAGGCTTCTTATCTTCGGAGAAGTCAGAGGTCATTTAATATTCCATCCAAAACAAGGAAGTAAAACATGATAACATTGTGAAACGCCTCAACCTTTGGACTGAGAGGAAGGCCAGAAAAGTGTTTAGTGTAACATTGAAATACACTGTATGTCATCAATTCACAGGCTACTGTCATGTCAGTATTGCTACACTGTGGAAAATCCATAAAACACACATAAAGGAAGTGTTGTTGAAGCTGTATTCAATATTGCAATTGGAACAGGTCGATACACGGGTGCATGGGCCTGACCCCCCATGGGCTGCTCATATAGATCGATTATAATGTTGAAGACAGATTAATCATGACTGAGAATATGAAATAGGGTTACGTGCTCTCAGTTTTTCAGAAACACATCAGTGCTTTTAAGATGACGTCTAGCACTTAAAATACAAGTCAGGCTGAAAAAAAAACATGTGATAGAGCTCGTTAAGGAAGAGCCTGAAGTCAATAACAGAGCAGGATAAAAAAAGAGGAGAATAACAAAGTGAGTCATTAAATAAGTCTTTGGCAGAGTTGTGAGACCAGAGTTTATGTGTGTAAGAGATGGACATCACAGACTCAGTGGAAGTAAATGGGGGATTATGATTTGAAATATCTCTCAGAGTTTTTTTGAATGCACTCAGTCAGTCAAGAAGAGTGTCAGCAATAGCAGTAGCACCGTGGCATGTAACAACCCCTCTAATAAGCACAATCAGTTCCACACAAGCCCTGCAAAAGATTACAATGGTGTATTTCTTCAAAGAGATTTTCCTCTAAATTTGTCAGAGCCATGCTTCAAGAAGTCATTGGTAATATTTTATTACCTGTAAACACTCCAGGAAATACTTACAGCACAAAACTGGTTTGGCACAAAACATAAGGGATCATCAATTATTTTGCATTTATAACAAAGGAAAATAAATACATTAACAGCACAGTTTCTTTGGCATATGTCAAACTTTCCCAGTTTTCAATTGATGTTTTTTTTTTCTTATAAGAAGAGTCTCTCACCTCAGCTGTAGATCTCTGCAGGTCATGCAGAGCGATCATGGGCCTTTTGACTGCACCTTTGATCAGTCTTTTCCTTTTTTGAGCTGAAGTTTAGAGGGATGGCCGGGTCTTCGTAGGTTTGTAGTAGTCATACTACTGTACTTCCATTTCAATATTATTGCTTGCACAGCGCTTCTTGGAATCTTTTAAGCTTGGGACATCTCTTTTTATATATACACAGCTTTAAACTTCTCCACAACAGTATCTTGGGCCTGCCTATTGTGTTCCTTGTTCTTCATGATACTCTTTGTGCTTTAAACACACCTCTGAGACAGTCTTCTTCTTCTTCTTTTCTTTCTTTTTTTAATGTTGGTTGGCAACCAACTTATAGGTGCATTACCGCCACCTTCCAGATTGGAGAATGGATCAAACAATAAACTATTATCTTCTCTCCATAATGCCTGTTCTCCTTAGAAAACTAAAAATACTCCTAAAAACTACATCCTCAGATGATCTCTAAAACTATTTCCTTATATCTAATTTATATTTGTTCCTACCAAACTCCCTACGTAACATCTCTCCTTCCTGAGCATATTTATTACATTCTAAAAACAAAATGCTGTACTGTTTTTAATTTTCCACAATAATTACAACACCCTGTACTATGCTAATTAATTATTTTAAGACTACTGTTGAATCCTGCATGTCCGAATCTTATTCTAGATATATCATCTTCTTTTTTAATTCTATTACACTTACTTTATTCTCCAACCTTTTTTTCAGTCCTATAAAAAAACATAGCATTCATTCCTTCATCCCAGTGTTCTTGCAATTTCTTCTTGATATAAATTTTACTAATATTCTTTATCTCATTTTTACTTATTTTAATATTTAAATCAACAATTTTTTTTTTTGCAGCATTCTTAGCAAACCCATCAGCTAACTTGTTCCCTATAACTCCAATGTGGGCAGGAATCCAAACTTAGCTAGTTCTACATCTCTAATAATTTTCTTTAATCCATTTAACTAAGTGATAGGACTTACTCCAACCATATCCTGTCTAGCCTTAAATTTTAATATAACTGTAAAGACGGTCATCATTATCTTCTTTCTTCCTCATCCTCAAGAGATTTTTCACCAACATTTTGTCCCCTTTTGATTTGATCTTTTCCCCCTCTTCTATTTTTAACCATAGACCATCCTATGTCCACTTTAAAATTACGCTTATAACCTGCAAATTATTTCTGTTTGGTTAGTTGAACTCGCTGGCTTAACACCTCATTCGGCCGAAAGAAACGCCCAGAACTCGGGCTCCTCTGAGACAATCACAGAGCAGATGCACTCATAAGGAGACTTGATTAGACACAGGTGGATTCTATTTATCATCATCAGTCATTTAAGTCAACATTGGATCAATCAGAGATCCTCACTGAACTTCTGTAGAGTTTTTTGTTGTGTGAGTGTATTTTGTGTTTTTTTTTTGGTGTGCCACTCTTTTGTTTTTTTTTTTTTTTTAAAAAAATTGAATTTTCCATTAATTTTGTTTCCCTTTCTTGTTTTTTTCCCCTTTTTTTTTGGTTTTTTTCAAAAATTTTAATTTTTTTTTTTTCTTGTTTAAGGGTTGAAATTTGGCAAAGTTTCAAAAATTTGAAGGGGGCCGAATCCTTTTTCAGGGCACAGTTCTTAGATTAAAACGATCAAAGTGTAAAGATACAAAATAACAATGTGGAACAATGGCAAGGATGAATAGATTCACATTCACTTTTTTTAAGAATGACTCAAAATAATTTGATAAGTAAATAAACATTTTTGAGTATAAACAGCAGATGATTCCATGCTGCGGGTGTCATAACGCTGAATACTATGTGGAGCAAGCGAAAGAAAAATTCTATTAGAGCAAAGGGAACAGCCAGTATCAGATCTTTGTAAGTTTGTAAGTATGATGAAAATGAAATAAAGTTTCCCAATCTCTAACCAGCCTGTTTTGAAGAATATCTATCAACTGTGGAATAATCCAATTTATATTTGAGCAATGAGAATGTTGGATTTTTGAACTAGATATCAGATGCAGCCCTGCTTCCCTAATGTCCATGAATCTAAAATCAGATACTAAACTATTATTAGTTAGCTGGGGTGTACGGGCTCGTCATGCAACAATCACATTGTGCACAACACTGAGGAACACACAGTCCCCCTTGCAGAAATCTATTAAAAAATTTTTTTCTGATGAGTTGTTTTTTTCTGTGTTCCTATTTTCTCACAATGCTCAATGGCAGAATGGAGCCCTTTGCTGTGAGCCACGATAATTAAATAAAAAAATCCAGTCTCCTCCTTGTTGATTTTTACCTTTACCAAATTGCATGTTATATTAGAAGGATAAGGCTGTGAAAGAAGGTGCTATTGGCAAATAATAACCAACCAAACTTTTTAAAAACAAAATTTGTTTCTTAGTTTTCATGTTATATCTAAGTATTTATAACATATTATGATTACCATCTATTGGAACCATCATCCATCAAATGTTTATCTCCGTTCTATACTTTTAAAGCTTTCTTTAATCCTACATCTAATAAAATGTTACCTACTGCTCGGCTTTAAACATTAAGAACAACCTGATTCAGTTTAGCATCTTAAGATGAGTAAACATTGTGGCCTGCATCCAAATTAGATCTCCTTTAAATTTTATGCAGATTATACTTTTGCTTTTATCTGCTTCATATCTACACGGCCCCCTGAAAAGTGAAGCACCAGAAAGGACTCATCATCATCTGCATGTTAGAAATGAATTAACTAATGTTCAACTAAAATGAGCTACCTTGAAATCAAGTCTGCTTCTTAAAAAACGAAAGATTAAGAATGTGAAAATGTGATATTATTCCTATCAAACCACTGTAATAGTGGTAGCACTTAGAAAGTTGGACAATCACTGTATTTGTAATTGTGATAAGTTGGACAACCCCCAACCCTCCTCTTTTCTGTGTTTATTTACTTGCTGGCCCACAGGCATACATTTCAGTGTTATTTGCTAAATTCAGTTTCACAATTAGCCGATGTGAAAGTAATATTTACTGCTTAGTATCTGGAAATATTTAAGCCTAAAGTGATGAAATTTAAAAAGCAATGTTAGATGATAGGAGAAGAAAAAAGTAGTTTTTTCCCCATAATCAGCAGTAAAGTGACAGAAGGAGAATCCATGTTAAATGCTGGTTGACTGGTGTCAAATATTCACTGCTCAGTTGTGCTATTCACAACTGA